GGTTATGTTAGAACAAGAAATGTCCACTTTAGCTTATTTTTGCAAGGGAAAACCGATCGTAACAACACAACCGGATCTGGTACACATCGTTTTGCCTGAGACTTCCTCACGAAAATTATGAAAACGTGGCTGCGGCCTAGGCGCGGCGGGGGGGCCATGCACCAGGGGTCCCAACAATAATTATTCTTTAGAAGAAAGAATGTTCAACAACAACAGCAGCAGCAACAACAACAATAACAACAACAGCAACAACAATAGTAACAACAGCAACAACAGCAGCAACAGCAACAACAGCAACAGCAACAGCAACAACAGCAGCAACAGCAACAGCAACAACAACGGCAACACCACCAACAACAATAACAACAGCAACAACAACCACAACAACAACATCAACAGCCACAGTCACAGCCACAGCCACAACCACAACAACAACATCAGCAAACAATTAAGACTGATCGCTCTTGTATGCTCGCGTGTCATTCAACACGTATATCCCGAACCATCGATACCCGCCCTCATCATCTTCGATCGTACCCAACTTTGGGGGGACATCTTTCTTACCTGCAACGTGTACTTCGTGCAGCCCTTAAGGCATGGGAAGAGAGGACGGATGGAAGGAAGGGACAAGGGGGAGGGAGGAGGAGGGAGCACCAGAGTAGCGGGAGGGGGGCCAGGAGCAGAAACCGGGTGGCAAAACCAGACGGGCAGGTCGGGCGGGTAAACCCTAACGGGCGGGTCGGGAAGGCGGGCCCAGGTGAATTCTTCGGGGCCACCCACGCTACAAAAATCACCCAAGGACCTTCCCGCCCTGCTTCCACCGCGCCCTCACCTCGCCCCCACCAGGTCTCCACGCGAGCTCTGTTCTTGGGACCCCGCACCGCGCCCCCACCACGCCCCGGCATCCCCACCCCACGCGAGCTCTGTTCGTGGGACCAAGGTGTAACCGAGCTATTCGGCACCTAGCCCACAGGCATTCGGCACCTAGGAATCAACCCTCGTCGGGCCTTCGCCCATAGTCATGGGGGTGATAACCACCCCCTGCCTACCACCCCCCAACAAGCCATAAGGATGTCATAGATATTCGGTCAGACGAGATTGAGCAGGATGACGCCAATAAAATTGTGATGATCAAACAAGGCGATCATTACACCAAAATCGATCATGAAGAAAGCATAACCCATCATGACGACATGACGGTATTTACCATGAGAGCAGTTCTCTGGGGGTCCTCCGCGACGACGACGACGACCACGACGGCGTGGGCCATCCAGGTACGGAATCCAGTTTGGATGATGTCGAGGGTGAGGAGGAGGGGGAGTTCGGCGATGAGGAAGGGTTGAGGATGATGGTGATGATTATGATGATGCTGATGATGACGACGACGATGATGATGCCGACGGTGATGACGATGATGATGATCATCATGATGATGGTTTATGATGATGATGATGATGATGATGATGATGATGATGATGATGATGATGATGATGCATACATTGGCATGGAATGGCCAACGAAGGCGAGAAGGGGAACCAGCATGGGGGGGATGGAACTCCGGTAGCATAATTCTTTTGCTCCTCCTCCTCCATCCTCCTCCCTCCCTCCTCCTGAATCGACCGATCGAGGATCCTTGGGCCAGCGTCTGCTGAGGAAGGGGGGGAAGAAGAGGAGGAGGAGGAGGAGGAGGAGGAGGAGGAGGAGGAGCGCCGTCGTCTTCTTCGTCATCGTCGCCGACGTCGTCGTCGTTGACGATGACGCCGATGAGGAGGGAAAGGCAGGAAGAGAAGCAGAAGGGATGAGGCCAGGGGGGGTGCCCGAGAGGCCCTCGAGGCGAGGAGGCGGCGAGGGTATCCGTGAGGTGGCCGGAAGGTATCCGCGAGGTGTCTGGAGGTTTTTTTTTTTTTTTTTTTTTTTTTTTTTTTTTTTCTCTCACGGTGCGCGGCAGAATGTGATCGTGTGCAGGAGGAGTGTCGAGCGCCTCTGGTTTCTGAGCCTCAGATGTACACGGCGGGCATGTCGTGATGAAATATTGGATTCGTTCCTGCCTCCTGGGGAGAGGCTCCTCGCGGGGCCTCTGGAGGCCCTGACCCGGGAGGAGGAGGAGGAGGAGGAGGAGGAGGAGGAGGAGGAGGAGGAGGAGGAGGAGGAGGAAGAGGAGGAGGAGGTGGAGGAGGAGGAGGAGGGGGAGGAGGAGGAGGGGGAGGAGGAGGGGGGAGGGAGGAGGATACCGTGATGAAATATTGGATTCGTTCCTGCCTCTGTACCAGCGTCTGCTGGACACCTCGCGGATACCCTTCCAGACGCCTCACGGATGCCCATCGGGACACCTCCTGGCCTCGAGGGCCTCTCGGGCCTCCCCCCCCGGGCCTCCTCGCTTCTCCTCCTTCTCCTCCTCCTCCTCATCATCATCATCCTCCTCCTCCTCCTCCTCCTCCTCCTCCTCCTCCTCTCCTCCTCCTCCTCCTCCTCCTCCTCCTCATCATCATCCTCCTTCACCTTCCTCTCCTCCCCCGCCTCCAGCAGACGCTGGTACAGGGATCCGCGATCGCTCGATCAAGGAGGAGGGAGGGGCAGGAAGAGGGAGAGGGCGACGAAGAGGATAATGAAAAAGGGGGATGAGGAGGCGAAGGAGGAGGGTGGGTTCTGGGAGCCTTTTTCCCCACATCCTGAGTGGGGTTTCTAAGTTCCTAAACCACCCTAAACCACCCTCCCCTTCTTCTCCTCCCGCTTCCTTCCCCTATACCATACCATGCATACCATGCCATACCTACCATACCATTACATACCTGCCATGCCATATCATATCATACCGTACCATACCATACCTACCAGGTCATACCTACCATACCCTACCTACCATGCCATATCATACCAGACCGTACCATACCATACCTGCCGTACCATACGATGCGTACCATACAATGCCATACCTACCAGATCATGTCTACCATACCACACCTAGCATACCATTACATACAATACCTACCATACCATACCATACCGTACCATACCATACCATACCTGCCATACCATACCATACGATACGTACCATACCCTACCATACCCTGCCATACCGTACCATACCCTACCATACCTACGATTTACAAGGTTTCGTGCCCCTCCCACGCCTCCATGGAAGCACCACCTGAGCGAGGAGGGTATCGGAAAACCATACTCTTTACAAGGTTTCGTGCCCCTCCCACGCCTCCAGGGAGGCCCCGCCTGAGCGAGGAGGGTATGGGAAAACCAAACTATTTACAAAGTTTCCTGCCCCTCCCACCCCTCCAGGGAGGCCCCGCCTGAGCGAGGAGGGCATCGGAAAACCATACTCTGTTCGTCCCCCTCCCACCCCTCCAGGGAGGCCCCGCCTGAGCGAGGAGGGCATCGGAAAACCATACTGTTTACGAGGCTTCGTTCCCCTTCTCACGCCTCCAGGGAGGCCCCGCCTGAGCGAGGAGGGCATCGGAAAACCATACTCCTTTGAAGGCTTCGTCCCCCTCCCACGCCTCCAGGGAGGCCCCGCCTGAGCGAGGAGGGCATCGGAAGACCATACTCTTGACGCGGCTTCCTGCCCCTCCTGCGCCTCCAGGGAGGCCCCGCCTGCGCGAGGAAAGCATCGGAAGACCATACCGTCGGGACGTTGACCTAAGGAACCCTGAATGAGGAACGAGGCCCCTTTTTGTCATAAGTGAACCTTCGACTTCCCACCAAAAACTTCAGGAAAACAGTGGGCAAGGTGTGGCACAATAAAGGAACACCGAGCCCCTCCCCAACGAAAATGGTTTTGGATGCTCGTTCTGGGGACCTTCCTGGAGCCACTCGCTCCACTCGTGCGTCGAAGCTGCGTCGAACGTCAGTCGATTTGGGTCGACCCTGAGTCGAACTGGAGTCGAACCTGAGTCGACCCTGAGTCGAACTTGAGTCGAATCTGAGTCGAGCTTGAGTCGAACTGGGGTCGAACAGATCTGTTAGGTGGGCTCCAGGAAGGTCCCCGAAACGAGCATCGAAGGAGCCCCTCCCCAACGAAAAGGGTTCCTTCTCCAGCGCCCCGACGGTACTCTTCAGAAGGTTGCGCGCCCCTCCCCCGCCTCCAGGCTTCCGCGGTCTTCCGCGCGCGGTCGACCCGGCACCCGCAGGCTCACGAGCGCCCGCCAGGTGGGCCAGCGCACCGCCCCCTCGGCGCCCTCCTCCCCCCTTTTCCTCCCCCTCCTCCCCTGCTTCCCCTGCCTCCTCCCCTTCCTCCTCCCCTTCCTCTTCCCCTTCCTCCTCCCTCCCCTTCCTCCCCCCCTTCCTCCCCCCCCTCGGCGTCCTCCTCCTCCTCCTCCCTTCCTCCTCCCCTTCCTCCCCTTCCCTCCCCTGCCTCCCCTGCCTCCCCTTCCTCCCCTTCCTCCTCCTCCCCTTCCTCTTCCTCCTCCCCTTCCTCTCTCCATTCCTCCCCCCCTTCCTCCCCCCACCCTCGGCGTCCTCCTCCTCCCTTCCTCCTCCCGGGGAGGAGGAAGGGAGGAAGGGGAGGACCTCCCCTTCCTCCCCTTCCTCCCCCAGGGCGCCGGGGAGCCTCCCGCAGCCGGCCCTGAGCTCTACCGTCAAGTCGGGCCTGGCCTCCTGCAGGGGGAACTTGGACGAAGAGTAGAAAACAGTCGCAAAGATACCCCCAAAACGGCCAAGAAAAATCGTCCCCAGACTATTTTTGGACTATTTTTTGATATTCCCCATGTAGAGGGACAGGCCCGACTTCACTGCACCGCAGAGAAACTCCCGCCACGTACAGGACACGCCAGGCCTGGTTTTTTAAGATTCCCCATGTAGAGGGACAGGCCCGACTTCACTGCACCGCAGAGAAACTCCCGCCACGTACAGGACACGCCAGGCCTGGTTTGAGCGTCCAGGGTTTCGCCCGCTGGTGGGCGGTTTGGGCCAAAACTGATAGGACTCCTCCTCGTCCTCACCTTTGAACCAATCCCCTTTTATCCACGTCCTTCTCCTCACCCTCCCTGGGCAGTCCGTAAGAAACGCTGGCCCAATCCGCGTCCGGCAAGCCGCAGTCGATGCAGCGCTGCTCGCCCTTCAGCCACCGGCCAGGAAAGAGGGAAGACAGCGAAAGACTGCCTGCTGGTGATGCTGCTGCTGCTGCTGTGCCAATCCACCTCCTCCTCCTCCTTCCTCCTCCACCTCCTGCTGTTCCTCCTCCTCCTCCTCCTCCTCCTCCTCCTCCTCCCTCCTCCTCCTCCTCCTCCGCACGCCCATCGCTTCCTGGTGAACGAGTCCTCCCTGCCGCACCCCCAGACGTGTCCGCAGGGCGGGCCGGGCGCTTCGCCCGCGAATCCCTGGCCGCGTAGGATCCCGAGGCCCGAACTCTGCAGCAGCTTCACGGATGCCAGGCCCGCGGCTGTCAAGAGCAGGCCCTCGCCGTGGAGCAGCGCGCACGCGCTCCAGAAAAGCTGGCAGCCGCTTCAAAGGCGGAGGGCGGGCGGTTGTCAAACTGTGGCTCTCACCTTCGGGCCGCGCACACTCGTCGGGCACGTCCGTGTGGCTCTCACCTGCTCAAAAGCTTGCGGCAGAGGGGCGGCGGGCCTCCTCCTCCTCCTCCTCCTCCTCCTCCTCCTCCTCCTCCTCCTCCTCCTCCTCCTCGGCGCCGCGCACAATCTCCGGGATGGCCTGCGGCAGCTTCCCGGGTGGAGGGCGGCTCGCTTCTCAGCAGGCGGACCTCGCCCCAGCGCCGCGCATAGCTCGGGGAGACGTAAGACCCGGGCACGGGGGACTCGGAAATCCCCGACGAGGTCGTCAAAAAATGACGAGGCCGAGCCTGCATTTTGACGAGGCCTCCCGCTGCAGACATCCCACGAAACTCCTCCTCGTCAAAATCCGAGGCGCGGTCGTCAAAAAACGATGGCGAACCCGAGTCCCGGCAAACACGGGTCTTACGCTCCCCCGAATAGCCGTCTTCAAAGTTGGCAGCAGCTTCAGAGACCCGCGCGGCTGGAGTCCCAAGAATGGCGTCCTGGCGCGGTCTGGGACTGTCAGGACGCAACAGTCGAACCGCTTCGCGGCGCTGAGTCCATGGACGGTGCTGTGACACGACTGAAGATTCTCAGACGGTTGCCTTCCAATGGGACACTTCCCGGTCTGAAAAACCTGACCGGACAAGAACGGGAAGCGTCGCTTTAGTCCAACAAGCATGTGGAATCTGCTCTGTTGTTGTTGCGCCGCGAAGGTATGCCGTGGCGCGCGTGTCGGCGTGCGTGCGGGGTGTGTTTTGCTGTGTTCCTGTGTGTTCTGCCGTGCTCCTGTTCTGCCGTGCTTGTGTTCTGCCGTGCCTCTGTGTGCTCTGTGTGTTCTGCCGTGTTCCTGTATTCTGCCGTGCGGATCGTCGCGGTGGTCGTTTTGGCGGAGCTTCTGGGCGCGCGCGCACGGCAGAAAAAGACCAGAAGCACGGCAGAATAGGCCCGATGAGCGAAGGAGCACGGCAGAAAAAGACCAGGAGCACAGCAGAATTGACCCCAAGAGCAAAGGAGTACGGCAGAATAGACCCCAAAAGCGAAGGAGCACGGCAGAAAAAGACCAGGAACACGGCAGAGTAGACCCCAAGAGCAAAAGAGCACGGCAGAATAGACCCCAAGAGCAAAGGAGCTAGGATCACGGCGGAATAGGCCCCAAAAGCTAAGGAGCACGGAAGAAAAAGACAAGGAGCACGGCAGAATAGACCCCATGAGCTAAAGAGCAGGGAAGAATATGCCCAAGTGCGAAGGAGCACGGCAGAGAAAGGCCAGGAGCACAGCAGCATACACCTCAAAAGCCAAGGAGCACGGCAGAAAATGACCAGAATAAACCCCAAGAGCGAAGGAGCACGGCAGAAAAAGACCAGGAGCACGGTATAATAGACCCCAAGAGCTAAGAAGCACGGCAGAGTAGGCCCCAAGAGCGAAGGAGCAAACCAGAAGAAGACCAGGAGCATGGCAGAAAGACTAGATAACTCGTCATTTTCGGCAGACTCCAGGGCGCTGTTGGAGCCATATTGGGCTCCTTTGGGGGCTCTCATCTCTTCGTCTTGAAGCACTTCGAAAACGATGTCGAGGCGATGTTGCGAACATCTCATTTGTTGAGGATGTCCCCAGCGCTCCTGCGTGTGCTGTCGTGCTCATGTGTGTTCTGCCGTGTTCCTGTGTGCTCTGTCTGTTTTGCCGTGCCCCTGCGTGTTCTGCCGTGCCCCTCTATGTTCGGCAGAATCAACCCCAAGGACTAAAGAGCACGGCAGAGAAGGACCAGGAATACGGAACCCAAGAGCAAAGAACCATGGCAAAAGAAGACAAAGAGCACGGCAGAATAGCCCCAAGAGCGAAGGAGCACGGCAGAATAGGCCCCAGGAGCGAAGGAGCAGGATAGAACAAAAACCAGGAGCACGGCAGAATAGACCATGTAGGACGATTTTCAAGGCTTTATTCCAACTCGTCCCTTGAGAAGAGTCGCTTCGTCCACCAATCATGTGGAACGAAATATGCAATGTTCCTGTGTGTTCTGCCGCGCTCCTGCGTGGTCTGCCGTGCTCCTGTGTGTTCTGTCGTGCTCCTGCGCATTAAAGTTAAAGTTAAAGACGGGGCCTTCAAGGCGGAGTGGCGGAGCCAAACGGCCAAGAAAAGGACGCGCTCTCCCGAGAGGGGCCGCCTAGGGCCGCCTCTCGCCGCGGGGGCCGCGCTGGGCCTTCACCGCGCGGCACCGCAGGCGAGAGCAGATCTACACGCAACATGCAACTGCCCGCCTCTTCACTCCTGCGTGGTTCTGCTACAGCAGCACGCCAAGCCAAACAGGGAAACATTTCAAGCGCAAGGCCTTGCGACGGGCGAGCCCCGAGCAAGCTTGCACGGCCGCGCGCGGCAAGGCCCAGGCGGAGCGCGGAAATCTACGCGCCGACGCGCCGACGGCCAGATGGCCCGCAAGGAGTCCACAAGAGGACGCACGCAGGAACCCATCAATCATCCAGCTGGGCCAGGGCCTCGGAGCGGCGAAGCGCCTGCTGCTCGGCGAAGCTCGGCGAGCCCTGGGCCAGCCACTCGGCGCGCTCGAGGTCGCACTCGGCCGCGCGCTCACTGCCATCAGAAAACTCCTCTGAGGAACTGGCCATGGTCGGGTCCGAGGTCCCTGAAGACACACCACGGAGGAGACGTAGGAACTGCCGTCGCAATCGCGCGCGGCGGTGCACGGAGGGCCACCACCTGCAGCCTCCTCGGCGAGGAAGCTCTCCATGGAGGCCAGCACGCCGGCCGCGCGGCGACGCGCATCAGGGGCCTGGACGCGAAGCCAATGCCAGCTTCGCGGAGGAGGAGCAGCAGCGCGTCCTCGTCGCCAACTGCCACCGCTTCTGCCAGGAGAAGGAAGACGCGCTTCGCGAGCTCACGTTACGAGCCGTCATCATCCACCTCGGAGTCGAAGCCGCCGCCCACAACCTCGCGGTCGACGACGGCTGCCTCCGCGCTAGCCGCCACCCGGCGCTGCAGCACTCGAAGCCTCCAGGGTCCTCTGGGCGCGGTGGGCGCAGGAGGAGCCCGCGCGCCCCCGCTCAAGAGGGCCGCATCATTCCGAGCCAAGTATTACACAATCTGGGTGTCGAGGCGAGCGCTGTCCGAACAGATCGTGCTGCGCGCCGAGCCGTTGGACGCGTCCACCTGCTGCACGCCCCCATGCGGTGACCGAAAGGAGCCCGCGGAGGCGGGGGCGTCGCTGGCGCTGCGATCCGCGTGCTCGCCAGGCACCTCACCGCCGCCCACGCCCTGGGCAGGCGCGCCAGCAGCCTCCAGGGGCGGAGGCGACCCAGGGGCCGCGGGGCCGACGCCGACGCTACCCTCCAGCTCGCCAGGGCCAGGAGCGCCATCGTCGTCGGAGTCGGTCACGTCTTTCTGAGAGAACCGCACGGTCCTCACCACGTCCAGGGACTTAGGGCGACGCCTGCGGCGCCTGGCGCCGCGCCGCACCATGGGGCCCGCGGCGCCTGGGGCGTCAGCAGCAGCATCGCAGACGCCTGCCTCGGGGACGGCCCACTCCTCGCCCGACTCGCGGCAGCACCAGAGGCTGGGAGCCCACGGCCCTGGGCCGACGCAGCTCCCTCCTGATGAGCCGTCGCCAGACTTGTCCTTCTTGCTGCCGACCTCTTCGAGCTCGGTGGCCGCCGAGGGTGGGCCTGCAGCGCAGCGGCGGAGGCTAGGCTGCCATGGCCCTGCCGCCGCCGCACGCCTAGCAAGCACCGCGCGCCCGCTCCGCTGGGCGCAGGTAGGCCGCTCCAGAGCCGACGCCAGCGCAGCGGCTCCACCGCCCGGCAAGGCGTGCGCGCCAAGGTTCCGCGCCGCACGGACGGCTCCTCCTGCCTGCTGGCCGCGGATGGCCTGCAACAGAGCTGGGGCCATCGCCGCGAGGCGGAGGGCGAGCTCCTCGATGTTCGCCGAAGGGGCCTCGACGGCCATCACCAGCGGCGCCAGCGATTCCACGGCCGTGCGGACGGCGGCCGCCACCGCAGCCGCTGCTACATGCCGCGTTGCGCCTGCCGCGCCCGCAGCCGCCCCGCGCGCTGCTAGCTCGACGGCGCCAGCCAGCGCGCCCCAGGCCGCGGGATGCGCATCCACATCGCTGACATCGCCCGACATCAGCGGAAGACCGTGGCCACTCAAGAGTGCGGGAAAATGCGCCCCCCCGCGCGGCTCTTGAGCCAAAATGGCTACGGATGTGCTCCTGTGCGTTTTGCCGCGCTCTTGTGTGTTCTGCCATGTTCCTACTTGTTCTGCCATGCTCCTGCGTGTGCTGCCGTGCTCCTGTGTGTTTTGCCGTGTTCCCGTGTGTTCTGTCTGTTTTGCCGTGTTCTTGCGTGTTCTGCCGTGCCCCTCTATGTTCGGCGAAATCAATTCCAAGAGCTAAAGAGCACGGCAAAAATAACTAGGAATACGAACCTCAATCGCAAAGGACCACGGCAAAACAAGACAAAGCGCACGGCAGAATAGACCCCAAGACCGAAGGAACACGGCAAATGAGGCCCGAGGAGCGAAGGAGCATGATAGGAAAAAGAACAGGAGCACGACAGAA